TCTTAAAACATAAATTTCAAAACTTGAGGGCAGGTTTTAAACTTTTCAAAACATAGGGGATCAAATAACAAATAATCTAAATTAACATTTAATCACATAATTATCCATATTTGATTTATTTAATTATTTCTTGCAAAACAATTTACCAATTTAATTAAAATAATTAATCAATTATCACATAAGGAAACTAATATTTAATTAATTGATAAATATCTTCAATTAGGTCAAGGATATACTCAAATATATCTTAAAATCGGATTTATATTGACCTAATATGATTAAGGTAAGTATCCAAAGGATAAACAGCAAGAAATCCCGAAATTAGCTCTTTCTGACGCTCGAACTCGCCGAGTACCACAATGGACTCGCCAAGTCCACTATGGAACTCGCCGAGTTCATCAGGCAGGGTGACAAAATTCAAATTTTGCAAGCATCAAACAAGCAACCAATGCACCAATTCAATAGAAACCAATCTAGGCTCTGATACCACTGATGGGTTTTATTCATATGAACATTCCTATGTGCACATACAAAACCCTAATGCTTGGATCTAGGTTTCTCTAATTAAACATGCATGAATCCAAGACTTCTAACGGTTATACTATCATCATAACATTAAGAAATCAGAGTTATAAGTTTACCTTGAATCACTTGCTTGATCTTCTTGTCCTTGGAGCTTTAGAGTCACAATTATCACTCCTCTAATGGTTTACAAACACCAACTAGCAAGAGGATGATTTGAGAGAGTGGGGAGGGAACTAGAAATCGACCAGGGTTCTTCCAGTGTAAGAGTACCGATTTCATCAACCGGTCTATTTATATTTGTAAGGCTCCTAGGGTTTCACCTTTAAACCATAATTGGATAACTTAGGCCCTCTGCAATCCTAATCCCTTCATGATAAGCCTTGGACAAATTCTAGGCCTATCTTAAGTCCTTAAAACCGTCCACCCCTTATCCATAAGGGATTACAGCCTAAAGTACAACTATCATACACTTGACAGTTTATGCCCTTCTATTTAATTAATCTCCTTAAGTCACCAAATTAATTCCTAATTAATTTATGACTTATATTAATCAAATAACAATATTATTATTCCTTATAATATTTCTTCTCTCATTGTAAATCATCCTGACAAGTTGCTATGGTGAAGGCAACCCAAAAGGACCATGCTCAATTGGGTCAAGTACTTTCCAAATATAGTTGCAGCCTTAGACACTATTCCAATAAGTATGTTGTTTTGTGATTATATGTATATTGTTGTATGTATGGGTATTTTGAGGGAACTCACTAAGCTTCGGGCTTACAGTTTTAGTTTTGGTTTCAGGTTCATCGGATGATCGCGGGAAGGCAAAGGCATGATCGTACAGCTCCTCACATTTATGACTTTGTTTCTGGGATACTCTGATATTATACTATTTTGAAAACAAGTTATGTAATATTCGTTGGTTTTAAAATGTTTAAAAGTTTAAATTTGGCACGATTTTTATAGATATTACACAATCTAACCAGGAGGTTGTGGGCCAAGGCAATCCAACCAGGAGGTTGTAAGCGAAGGGTAATCCACCCAAGAGGTTGTAGACCCAATATGTAGTATGTATGGCAATCCAATTGGGAGGTTGTTGGCCAGGGCAATCTAACCGAAAGTTTGTGGGCCAGGGGTAATCCAATCGGGAGGTTGTGGACCCGAGGGTATTCTAATCCGATGACTAATTGGACCCAACATGCATTATTTTATATGTTATATGTTTGTGTGATGGTACTTTGGGGAGACTCACTAAGCTTCGTGTTTACAGTTTGGTTTTTATGTTTTTAGGTACTTCAGATAATCGGGGAAATGCAAAGTTTTGATTGTGCAAATCCTTCAGTTTTTATGAGATTTGATTTTGGAATTCTCTGATTTGTGACTATTGATACTTTGGAAACTATAATTGTAAACATTTATGGTTTTGAGTTGTTTTTGAAAAATGAAAATTTTACCGTGATTTTTGGGATGTTACAAATCTCTTGTCACGTCAGGACCTCTCTATGGTCACGTCGTGACACATGGTTTTACCTAAAAGCAAAGCCTTTGACCCCTTAAAGCCTTAAATAAATCTGTTCTAGAAATTGGTTGTTACATGTCTTCACGCTGCCATATCACAACCAACAACACCACCTGCAATTTATTTCAAGAGGAAATAAGGAAGGGGAGCAAGTCCACAAGGGATTCAAGAGAAGAATGATGTTTAAGGATCCATGAACGACCCAAAAAGAGGGGAGAAGTCCAAATGAGTGTATCTGATAACATTAGCGGGATGTTGTTTCTCTTAGAAAATAGATGACACTATCATATGAGATTGGACTGTTGGGTCTAGATGAGAATAAAATGCTAAGGCATGAGAAGTTGAGAATACAAAGGTAAGTGTAAGAAGAGTACGAGAAGAGCATGTGTAGGGTATGAAAAGAGCATGCGTAATTTATGCGGAGAGAAAAAAGATGAGATGAGATAAGAATAAGGGACAAGAAACGAGATGAAGTGAGAAGAGTATGAGGGAGATAAAGATACAAAAGAATAGAGCATGATAAGGATGCAAGATGAGATGACAAGAGGTGAGGATAGAGTATGAGCAGAATATGATAAGAACATGAGAAGATGCTAAGAAAGTGCATGAGATGAGAAAGAAAGATTAGAATCAAAAGTACGTAAAGAGAAAGAATAGTCAAGCTAAGAGAAAAAAAAAAGATTAGACTTACAGAGTATGAGAATGAAGAGAAAAGAATGTTAGAATGTGTAAAGGAAGAAAGATAAGAAGAAGAAGATGATTTACATGAAAATAAAAAGAATATAACTCACCATACCTATAATCTGATGTATGTAAATATTTTCATGTTTTGTAGGTTCACATAGCAACCGTTGTACGTGAGAAAATAGGAGCACAAGAACTTGGAATAGAAGTAGATTTATTGTATTTTTCCTTGTTGCCTTATATTTTATTTATGTATATTGTAAATCCGAATATTGTCTGGGATGTAATTGTTTTATTTGAGTAATAGAATTCCACATTTGTTAGAAAATTTTGATAATCCCTAGAATATTAGTTGAGAAATTTTTGATCGTTACATGAAGTCTCGTTCAAACATTATCTACTTAGGAATATATTTCATAAATATCATCTTACCCATATTATTTAATATTACTTAGAGTCTTAACATACTTAATACATCATAATACTTTGTTCCAATGTATGCAAGAGTTAGGATACGATAATGTATCTTTACCATTAACACCAATCGAAACATCTTACATTACATATGAGTTACATTACATATGAGGGCAACATACTTTCACAAATAACATATATTATCTTATTATAAGCACACATCGGTTCCATTTTACACTACAAAGTCCTTCACTTAATTATCACTTTCAAGTCCTATAAAACCGTGTTACAATAAGATATTATAATGTATGCTATAAGAGTACAATATCTAATGTAGGCTAAACAAACAAATTTGATTATCATACATGAGACATATTCTACCCTAAATACATAAAAACATATACATTGAGTGAAAAAGCTGTTGATGATCGTGACCTGAGAAATATTTTTAAGATGCAGTTTTTTTTGTAAGAATTTTTATAGTGTTTATTAATGTTATAGTATCTCACAATGATGAAGCATCAAGTGTGTAGTAAATCCAAATTTTGTATTTTTATTGAATTTTTTCTTAATGAAATATACAAAAACTTTCAAAAAGTAATTTTGTTGTTTGAAGGTGTGTTTGAAACTTATATTTAGACTAGTTGTACATGTATAAATTATAGTCATGTAGTTATTATCTTCATCTATGTTTGACTATCACAAAAATTAAGCATGGGTCATGAGTCATGAGTCATGCCTCCTTTTCAAAAGGAAGAGATTTGTATATTGGAGAGGGCTTTCACATGAATCACGTGGATTCGTCATCAGAAAGATGAAGGTGTGGATAAAAAAAAAACATTAAACATGCACCAGAGTGACCATGAAAAGGAATGAAATTTATAGTATAGACACCAAAGACCGCATAGCGCAGTGGATTAGCGCGTTTGACTTCGGATCAAAAGGTCGTGGGTTCGACTCCCACTGTGGTCGAGTAATTCGAGTATGTTTTTTTATACCTCTCCTTTGCTCGTATTACTAATGACCATTGCATCAAAGTTTCCAAATATTTTTGCATAATATAGTCTCCTTAAAAAAGCATATATTTGAAACTATATGAACCACGGTTTTCATTTTGTTTCTTCCCCAAGGGCACACATCGCTTAACATTCTTAAGACTGTTTCTGTTGCTTGTGGTGAGGTTCTATTCCTTATGACATTTACTGTTTGTTTACAGAAATCGAACCCTAATCTCTCTAAAACACTTGTACTCACTACTTCCATGAACATTTCGAGCAGCAAAATTGGGGAGAAGTTTCATAACATGAGATTTGTTAAGAATAGGGCAATAGGTTAATGTAAAATATCTAATTATGTATTATATAGCAAGTTAGGTGTATGTGTATCCATTACAAGTTAGAATATAATTTTGTTCTTTTGAAGCAAACGACCACCATTAACAGGAAATTGGGTTTTCATCACCATTATATGTAGGAACTCGTTAAGGCTATCTAAGATAGTTTTTTTTTTTTTTTACTTGTAGGAACTCCCTTTCTTCTTTTTAGTATGTCCGATGGCAGCCTACAAATGACCAAGGGTTTTCCCATACAGTGATAAGAAACGTGTTTAGGGTTTACGGATAAATTAGAAAGGTTAAGACGGTTTTAATATTAATAATGGTCACAAAATAAATATAATGGTTTATTTAGGCATTGAGGTAAAATACATAGGGTTTTAGAGTGGTTTTCCCTAATTTTTAATGACAATTGTTCTGAAAATTACAAATGCTACCTCTACTATGATTTACCCTCCAAAAATCAAATATTACAGATACCTACCCTCAACTTTTAAGCAAATGCCCAAAACCCCCCTTCAAGAATCAAGATTCTTTCTGTTGTGATACAACCTTCTTCCTCCTCCCACCTTTCTTCACAACTCCTGCACCTTCATCATCACTTCCACTCTTATTCCCCTTTTCTGCATTTCCTTCACTTCTATTCTTATTCCCCTTTTCTCCAGAACTCATTTCGCTTCTCAATCGCAAAATCTCACCCTTAGCAGCCGCCATTTCCTTCTCAAGTTTGCTTCCTTTCTTCTCCAAACTCTCCCGTTCCTTTCCCAATTTCACAATCATTCCATGAGCATCTTCCATGTTTTCTCGAGCTTCTTTAATCGTATGTTTCTGTTCATTAATGGAATTATACAAAACTTCCTTCTCGTCTTCAAGCTCAGAAATCTTACCCTTTGAGATCTCCAATTCCCTCGATAGAATCACCGTGTTCTTATTCAGCTCATCAAGTGCTCTCGTCGCTTCTTCCAAATCCATTTCCACCGACTTTTTCGAATCCCTAATTTTCAAAATCTCAGTTTCTAGAGTGTTGACTTTTTTAGTCAAATCACCGATCGTCTTCCTTTCTTCTTTAACCTCGTTGCTCACAATTTCAAGTTTCTTATACGTTTCCACCAGTTCGTCCCTCAAATCATCGCGTGTTTCAGATGCTTCTAGAAGTTCACCAGACACCCTCTTTAATTCCTCCTTCGTTCTTTCCAAAACGTCTTTACTTCCAGCGAGTTCTTCAGCCAATATTTCGACAGTTTGTTTCAGTTTATCGATGTTATCATGTAATCCTTGTTTAGCTTCAGAATACTCGATTTGAACCCTCGAAATCTCTCCTTCAAGCTCCTTGCATGTATTCTCGGAGATTTCGAGACGTCCCGCCAGCTCAGCAGCCTCGTTTCTTGTGTCGCCTAACGTTCTCTGAACTACACGAAGCTCCTCTTCAAGATTTTCGACTTTACCCTCTTCCAGATTCAATCTTTTTTTCAAATCATCCCTTTCATTCGTCAAAACGCTGATTAATTCTTCGTTTTTTTCTACATTGGTCAAAGAAGACTCGAGCTGTTCTTTAAGCTCTTCGAGTTCCTTTTCCCTTTCTTTCAAAAGCTTAGCATCAGAGGCCGATTTCTGTTCTGAAGAGAGCTTCAAATCACTGTACTCCTTCCTAACAGACTCCAGTTCTTCACTAATAACGTTTTTTGCATCACATAAAGATCGAATTTCTGCATTCAGATCATCAAGATTCAAACTCTTCGATTCTAATTCTTTCTCAAGTTTAAAGATTTCTTGTTTTAGCCTTTGGATTTCCGAATTTGAACCACCCAATTCAGCACATGTTTCTTCATACACAGAATTCAGTTTCTTGAACTCAGATTCTTTGGCTTCAAGGGTTGAGCTTAAATTTGCAAGATTGTCTTCTTTATCTTTGATTTCAGATGTAAGCAAATTTATCCGTTCTTGAAGCACTTGAATGGAGAAAAGCTTATCTTTCACCTGCATTTTGAGGTCTTCTTTATCATCAAAAACTTTTTTGAGGTCAGCATTAAGACCTTCGATCTGGTTATTGAAATCTTGGATGACCTTCTTCTCTTTTTGAAGCTCTTGTCCTAAACCCTTTATCGTGCTATTTGCTGAACTTAATTGGCTCATTAATGATTGCTTCTCTTGATTCGATTTTCTAATTTGTTCGTTTTTTTCTTCCTTTTCATTCTGCAGTTTTGACTCGAAGTTTTTCTTCATTGAAACAAGTGCAGCTTCCTTTTCCACCAGTTTAGCTGTCATCTGTGTGATTATAATTTATACGGCTTTGTTAGATATATAATAAATGGGTTTAATTTTGTTGCATGAAGATGAAGTCTTACACAAAACCCTAATGAAATGATAATTTTCTCATGGGTATTTCTCATAACATATAAGAAAGCGTTCTCATTCACGTTAAATACATTACAAGTTTATTTTAAAGCATTAACACCCATAAAATCTTCTTTTTGGAAGTCTCATTGCGTAAAAGTGTTCAAGATCATAAATAGCGTAACATGAGAATTTAAGGCTTACAGATTCTATAGTCAACATGTCGGCTGACTTTTCCTTCTGAGCCAATGCATAAAAGGCACCAAGAACACCTGAAGCAATTATTCCAAGTCCACTCGAAAGAGTAATAAAAGGATTTGGTGATGAATCTCCATTAGTTGGTGCCTAAGGGGCAAGAAAGGAAATCATTTAAAAGTGCTTCAAACATTATAACTTATAAGAAGTAAGAACATAATTTTAACAAGATGATGTATGTATGTTTGTTTAAAATTCAACATTAAACTAGCATAGTATTGGACCTCGGCTATTTGATTTCGTTCTTGCGCCCTTGCAGAATCTTCTGAAATATCATAATCAAGAAAAGAATTAGTCGATTGCAATTTAATTTTTCATTAACCAAACCATTTAGCTTTTGTTTCATTTATTTCTCTCTTATTCTTTATCTTTGAGGGAAAGCCATCAAATTCTTGACTTACCCTTAATCCCTTATGGCTTATGTTAACTTTCATTACACTTCATGATTCAACAAATAAGCTACAATGCCAGTTTTCAAGATACACCCATGTATAACCCCAACAAAGATACAAACGTAATAGCCGAAGTTGGAATTTCGGGATTTTTTTTTAGGGTAAATAAGAACAATTACTTCATTATTCTCAAAGGAAATCACAACGCTACTATTATTCCTTTCACGTACCACTACAGGGTCAAGATTCAAGTCCCCGATTTTACCAAATCACCAAATTATCCCAAATCAAGCTAATAAATGTAAAACCCTAGATACATTTCGCAAGTAGATTAGAGGAGAATAACAAATGTGTTCAATTTTGAAAAGGGGCCTGGAAATCAAGCATACCCGACTCATCCGGAGCGGAATTTTCAACAGCTCTTGCTTTTAAATTCAAGAGCGGAAGAACAGAAACACCCATGAAAAGAATCGCTCTTCTCTGGCAGAAATCGTCTTTGTTGGGGTCATGGTGTTGCATACAAGCATGGATTTTTCTTCTCTTACTGAAATCATGTGGTTTTCTTTGGCAAGAGTAGAGGAAAAGAGGCTGTGAAGAAGATGAAAAAGAAGGGAAAAGAGAGTGATAAGTTGAGGAGTGTAAAGGAAAAGAACATCCCATTGCAAACCCCATCATTTGAGATTATGGTAGATTTGATTGTGTTCCTTTCTTTTCGAGTTTTGGATGACTGAATCTCAGACGATTTCAATGCCAGTCTTGCTATTTCTCCCATCATTGTATGGGATTTGCCCTTCACGGACCAAAATGCCCTTCGATAATTTTATCTCCTAACAAATGGAAACTCAAAACTTTCTTTATGTTTTTTTTTTAAAAAAAAAAACCTAGCATTAGCATTTTTTTTCTTTTAACTCACGTTCATGTTTGTTTTTTTAAAACTAAAATATCTGCAGTCTGCAGGTCATATCTGTAAATCTCTGCAATAGAAAAGATTAATAAAATGTTTGCAGTCTGCAATAAGAAGTCTGTTTGTTTTTTAATGTTTGCAGATACTTAAATAAACTGTTTTTTCCAAGGTTCTAAAAAGCTCGTCATGGCTCTGCCATGGCGCGCCACGACTCCAAGGCTTGCACCTGCCGCCAAGTTTTGCCAAAACGCCGTCTTAACTCATATATGTGTATAAAAATGAATAATAGTTGAAAATACATATAAAAATATTAATTATATAGAAAATTGCCGCCTTAAGTCACACCTTACAAACGTTATGACTCGTCAAGGCTCAGAAAAGCTTGAAGCTTGACATTGCCGCCAAGTCACGCTTACGTTATTTAGAACATTGGTTTTTTCAAACTTAATTTCATGTCATAAACAAACATTCTATGAGGGCATATGTCCGTGCGACGCAGATAAAAATGGTTGTGCAGATCTGCACACAAAAATAATAATAATAATAAAATAAACAAACAAACAAACAAACAGCTGCTATATCTTTGGTCTTGACATATTTTTTTTTTCTTTTATTTAACTTGATGACTAACCACGAGTCATTACTGGGAGACAAATAGTTCCCATGGTCATTTTTGTTTGTATTAAGTCAATTTCTATATGAACAACATTCTAAGATAAACTTAATCTTTTGATATAATAAGTAAATGACACTTATGCAAGTAAGTTACCCTTAACCTTTCTTATTCAATACATTTCACAATCAACAACGGTTAAAGCACATGTTGGGGTGCAAAGCTCTTAATGAGAATATAACTCGAAGGTTTCACATTTTTATGACATATGTGTAAATTTAAGCATTGTGACTTACAAGTTGTAGCTTCTCTATAAATAGTAAAGTCATATTCATTGTAGAGTTAAGATTTCCCATTTTCTATAGTCTTAATTGTTTTAGAAAGTAGATTAGTTTGAGTGAGTACTGTAGAGTTTTGTTCTACTCGACATTTATCTAAACAATTATGCTTAAACGTTACATCGTTCTTGTTGATTATGCACTTTCTACATGTTTTGCATGTAAAATCCAAGTTTTATGTTTTCACAACACATACCATTCGACATGTTTTGCGTTTTTAGGTTTTTTGTAATGATATTGTATTCTTTTATATACCATAAACCTACACTAATAACGACTTAACCGAAAATTAAGTAAGGTCTAGAAAAAAAAAATCCATCCATGAATCAGTAACACACTTGCAAGTTTTTACACAAGCTCATGTGTATGTTTTGTTATGATAGCCGCAAATTACACGATCAGTGACAATGTGTCTTTAAGTTATAACACGGATGAGCACACTAGCGGGTCTTTTCTGTTGACTCACATGTATGTAGTTGAATATGCGTGAGCGAGTAACTATATTTTCTCTAGTATTTCAATATCTACCCACCAATATTTTCTAACATATTATTTAATCATTGTAATTATTGTTAGGTCTAAGTGGTCGACCGGTCGTTAAGGCTAAGATACATTCTAAAAACAAACAAAAAAAAAAAAAAAAAAAAAAAAAAAAAAAACTGGTCTCGTTCTATAGCTTGTATGTAACTACTTAAGAGAACATATTTTGCGGTGTGGTTGGATATCCTAAAAACAAATTGAGACTCACAATTGGTCATGTTGTGCTTGTTTCATATATATGGTGTGACCATAACAAGAGAGTGTTGTAGTTCCATGCTTGAGGAAACAAGTTGTGTTTTTAGCACGAAGAGTTTTGCTTTTATATATATATATATATATATATATATATATATATATATATATATATATATATATATATATATATATATATATATATATATATATATATTGTAGATGAGTATGTTTGTAAAAACATAAAATAAAATGAAAATGCATAATTACAAAAAATTGTGAATCAATAATAAGAATTGGTGTTAAATGATTGATAATTTTTATAGAGAAATTGATAAGGAACAATTTATATAACCGATCTCTCAAAAATAAAGAGCACTCGATAAGGCTCTCTCTAAATATGAGTTTATAGTTACAAAAAGCCTATGGGTTTGATTCTTCCAAGCTAGATTTAGCAAAAACAACCAACCCAAATCCAACTAAAAATTAGTAAGTTGATTTCACATTTCAACCTATTAAATTAAACTAGAGGGCTTCTCGCGCTTCGCGAATGGAAGAGAATTTATATAGGGATAAATGCAATAAATAGCTATGAACTTCATTGAAAATCCATTACTTTCAATTTCTTCCTATAAACTTTAACAATTATGCAAAAAGCATAAATGATCTTTGGGATTAGTATGTCTGAGTGAAAAATAGGCCATATAAAGCTCAATACAAGCATTTTGTATACAAGTAAAATATTTTTTTTCACCGATTAGGGATCAACAATGGACGTTACAAAAAGAAACCTTAGGGACAAAACCAAGTTAAAATTTCTAGCAATGATCAGACTAATACACATATACCAACAATTTAAGTAACATTAAAGCGTATAATTTTTTTTTTTTTTTGAAAAATTACTCACTTCAAGTTTCCCTAAACTTTTATACTCCTACCTCTCCTATAAAGAGCTTTAACATTTCTTTCATTTGTTGCAATACTTGAAGAATTTACAAAATAGAAGCATGTCCATTATTAAAAGACAATATACTTCAGTTTTTACCCATGATAGCAACGTACTTATAATTTTTTACTTTCATATCTCTCTATGATAGTATGTGTTTTGGTCAAAAATTAATCAAATGTAAATCACCCAAAATTATAAGAGAGGTTGTGATGTTGTAATCAAAACAATTGAGCAAATCAAGAGTAGGTGACACAAGTGGTTTACAAGGAAAACCCTTAATTCTTGATAGGATCTTCGACATAAAACCTTGTGAGGTGATAATTATCACACGCCTTGTTATTTTTATTGATATGAACTGTTGAGTACAGAAGAATAATATGAATGTAAGTACAAATGTTGTAGATTAGCTGATCGTGTGTGTAGTGTACATATTACTGGTGTATTTATAGTCTAGCTTAAGCAACATTAAGTCTAATATTTCTGGGATCCTCTTGAATGAGTATTCACATGTTGTTTGACTTGGTATTCCTGGGTCTTAAGACTGGTTGAAGTGATTCTTCATTGAGAATGAATCTTATGTTGGTCATTTATGCAAATGTGAAAGAAAGACTAGAAACATATCAATTATAAATGTTAGGAAATAAATATAATAATGGTTAGGATCCTAAAATATGTTAGGGATCCTAAAAGTTCTTGAAGATTTGGGATCTCGAATAGGATTAATGATCTTGACCCTAACAATTGCCCCCAAATTATTCATGTAGGATATTTAGGTTAATTTTAAATATTCAAAGGTATAATTTCAAGTAAATAAAGATAAGGTTTTCAAAATTTAAACCCTAACGAATAGATTTTATCCATTCCAGGATCATAATGATGCAGTCAAATCACCTTCTCTCTCCACTGTCATGAGGATAAATTAAGGTAATTAGTTTGAGTTATTCTTTACCCTCCGATGTTTCTTTTCAATATTCATCAACTGTTCCTACGGTATCCTTTTTTCCTCCTTTTTAACTTTTTCAATTTCTTATGCAGGGGTAAAAAGATGGTTCGCTCTCGAGCTAGCATCATTGCCCCTTCTAACGATAACTTTATCGATCAAAAGCTCCTCACTTACAGTGAGACTTATTCATTTAACAATGAGGATATTAGGTTCTTGAAATCCAATGAGGTTTTAATGTAGACACGATTTTTAGGCATTTCGATGCTTCGATTCAACAAGATGTTGTCTCTTCTTCTTGGATTTGCTTTCATAAATATCCTTTTTCTTTAGGGTTAAAATACCCCTTTAATGGAATTATTTCTGAGTTTTTAGAAGTCACAAACATCTCATATATCCAAGCCATGCCTGTCATATGGAGGATCCTATTCCAGATCAATTAGTTCAACCAATAGAATGATCTAGGCATACTTGTTGTCGAACTAGCTCATGTTTATGATCTCTTCACCTTTGGAAATTCTTGTTTCTTGCTAAAGCTCAAACCTAACAAATATCCACTCATTCTGAAATCAAAACATAATAACAGAGCTTTGAAAGAGAAATACTTTTTTATGAGGCACGACATTATTCCCGGTGGGGATCTCCTACCAAAGTCATGGGTCAAAAAACGTTGTATTTACTCTTTTGTTGCAAGGATCCTTGTAACACCTCAAATTTCAAGATAAAATTTTCAATTTTAATTCTTAAAATATTACTCATAAATTAAAGCCATCATATATTATTTAAGTTAGTATTAGAACAATATTAGAATATCCTAAAATCCTAAAATCTCCATAAGCTAGCGGATGTGTACAATCATGTCTATGCCTTCCCGCGATCTTGAGATATACCTGAAACACAATTTACACAAGCACTGTAAGCACGAAGCTTAGTGAGTTCCCCAAAATACCACATATGAAAATAATAATCCTTTAATAGCTATGTCTCGATATCGACCCTCCGATCATGTGTCTCAGTAAAGACCCTCCGGTCTCACGGCTCGGTATGGACCCTCCGATTATAGCTCAATATATATACAGAATAATGTAACAACATAAGTCACAAAGACAAAGTGCATAATAACACATAAAGCAAATAAGACCCTCCGTCCAGTAATGCAAACAAGACCCTCCGGTCAATAATATAAATAAGACCCTCCGATCAACAACATAAATAAAACCCTCCGGTCAATAACACAATAAGACCCTTCGGTCACTCATGCATTTGATAGTTTTTATACATAGAAAACAATCATATGTGTGCATGCAACCCTAATTTGAGGATCTATGTTTTCACTATTAGACACACAAGCATTGAACACAAAAACTAGAAAGCCTAGGAGGCACATCTAATTTTCAAAATTAACATATAATTAGGGTTAGGATACATACCTTGATTGTTATATTGT